AGGAGGCGTCTTCCCTCGGGTTTGGTAGGCGTGAGTGTGCAAAGGTGCACAACTGTCTTCTGGGTGGGGAGGAAAGACGCCGCGCGACAGCTTGCCCAAAGATCCCAAAATGGTTGCGGGCTCAGACACAGATCGATGGACCGCGTTGACTTGGAAGGAGGTAGCCCAGGCTCGAGAGCCGGTTTGAGAGAGAGTCCCAGCTGCCAGACCCTCTTGCCCGAAGAGGGCTGCTTTGAAGATCTGAAGCGCGACCCGCCTGGCCTGCGACTGCCCAAAGAAGCACTCCGCAGGCAGAGGTGACCAGGATCGCGCTTGCCTTGGCCGAGACTGCCGGCTCCAGGCCTCCGCAAAGCGGAACGTGCGGTCCTGTAGCCGCCACTCGGCACCGCGAGATGACACCCTCTCTCGCCTTTCTTCGTTCCCACCACATCTGGACTGGGGACGTTCGCGCAAGACTTGCGCAAGACTCAACTAGGTCCGACAGAGAACCCTGTGTGGAAAAGGCGCGGAAACTCGAGTTTCAGAAAGCTCTTGCTCGGGATGTAAGCACTTGTGCTGGTGCGAGGCTCACCTTGGTTTGCAGCTAAACAGCAAATCTGCGTGCTGAAAATCGGGCTTTGGTGCTGGGGATGGATGCAGGGGAAGCTACGAGGTACGAGCAAAACTGCTTTCGTCGCCCTTGTGCAGGACTCAGCTGGGTCCGAAATGAAATAGGCAAACGAAGGGTCAGGCAGACTCAACTTGGTCCGAAATGAAACAGCGAGACTACGTGCGGAGAAGCGCCAATCAAAACGGAGGGACGCTCGGACACGTGATGAACTGATCTGCGAAACTACGCGCTTGAAATGAAATAACTTGGGTGCACCAGCAGAGCTTCACCCTGAAATCTGATTTTGGCAACGCTTTTAGTCTGGTGCTGGGGATGCAAGGGACGCTAAAGGATGACACGCATTGGTCTTACAGGGCGCAGCTGGGGATGCAGGCATCGCGCCTTCAGAGCCCTCGTCATCATCATAGGCTCCTCATCATCACAACTCTTTTAGTAAAAAGCTTGCATTTCAACTGCGACGCTAGACATCTGCCAGGGACGCAGGCGATGCTGCGACGATAGTCACCGCGACACGGGCGATGACAACTATCATCAGGCATCGCTGTGACATGCGACGACGCTGCGCAGAGGTGCTGCAGCGATCGCCGTCAAGGCGTCGCCACCATCGCCCCCTTCTCTGTTATCACCCACGTTTGACGGTAGACGGTGCTGGGTACGCAGCGCATGCTGCGACATCATCAGCGCCGGCAACATCAGAGGCAACAAATCATAATCAACAAAACCATCCACATCAACAGCATCAGCGCCCGCGAAACATTCACATTTCAAGTTTGACAATAGACATCGCTGCGTCCTGATGACACAGATGATGGCAATCATCACAAGGCATCCCTGTGACGTCAGGCGCTGGTGAGGGGTTTTACGATGACAGGTACCATCGATCCTTGTGATCATGACCATCACAGTCCTCATGATCTCGTTCTTACGCGCGCCAGCAGCGCGCAGGACGCTACGATGATAGTCATGATGACACGGATGTTGAGGTGATCTGTGGCGATCGCTGACGCTAGTCCTGAAGCCAAAATATGGACCAACAAACGGCGGTTTCATGGGGCAACATGAGCTGGGGGCGTGAAGGGAAAACCCTACAACTTTTAGATCAACATGGATACGATTCACAGTTGAAAGCCGAAAACGGGGACCAAACGCAGAGCGCTGGGCACGCTTGACCCCAACTGTTTCCCTTTCGAGTAAATCAAGGGCTGAGGTCCACCTATCACTCTATACACTCAACAGAAAGTGCTCGAGATACAAGGGCGTTGTGTTACAGAATTTTGCCATTGTTGAGTGGCAGCCCGTCAAGCCAGTTGCGCGGCTGTAAAAAGCAAAGCGTGCAGCTTGGGAACGTGTCTGCGCCTTAGCTGCGTCCTGCCGCAACGCTAGATTCTAGGTGTCTTGCTTCGAAGCGCGGCAGCTCGAGGCAAGTGAGAGCAAGCAGACCTTGCCCGCAAAAAATGTATTTAGAACATAAGCCTCAACAGCTCGCCTTTATCGGCTGCGTCTTGAATGTGTCTTACTGCAGAAAGAAGAAGGCGGCCAGACGTGATGTCTCAAATCCCAAGCGAGCAGACTGACACGCGCTCCTTGATTGCTTCCCCCGACTCCGACCCATGATAGTCGGTTCAGCATTGAGACCGTTCAGCGTTCGGCCAAGGTGTTGGCACTGGCGGATTCATGTTCAACAAGTCAAGCTTCTCCAGAATGGAGACATGATCCGGGGCGTGTGGTCCATTTGGATTTGCCCACTGTTTACTCTCGGCCCAACAAGAACACTCGTGCCAACTTGTATGTTGCGCGCAATATGAGTCTTCCAGGTGCTGTTGGGATTTTGACTGAGCGGCTGATCCGCCCATGAGCTGTGCCTCGATTGTGCCGTACGACGGACAGTCGCTGACAGAGTTCGCGTTATGGAAGCTGCGCCCCGGATGGTAGAACTAGACGAGCCATCTCAAGCTAATCTGCGAGGCAATGCGACATTTCAAAACATGCTTGAGCCCACAAGACGAGCAAGCCAAGAGCTCCCGCCCCCACTCTGCGATTAGGCTACGCGTTTTCTGTGTCTACATCAAGTCGCTCTTAAAAAGACTGGTTTTGGCGGATTCCGCGCTCTTCGCCCCACCATTCAACCGCTTCTTACAGTTCCTGCTCCGCCCAAGATGATTTCATCCGCTCTGTCCCAGTCTTGTATCTATTCTTTTGTTCGTTTCAAGTTTTGTGTTTTTGTTTTTTCGGATTCACTTTTTTCCTGCCTTAAAAAATGTGTACATATATATATATATATTCACATAAATAACTATATATGTTGTATATATTCCCTTTTCAACTATCAATGTTTTGGCTTCTAGGTTTGCCTGTTTCTCCATTCCTAGCCGAGGGATATATAGGTGGCCGTTCACTTTGGTTTCCAAGTGAGAGTGTAGGGAGGGAAAATCAAGAAGGTACTTAGATAAAAGAAGCTTGCAGGAGCTAGGAAAGGCGAGAAAGCATCTGCAAGACCTTGGTTCTTCAGGAAAGATATGGAGCAGATTGCGCTAGCAAGTTGCATTGGCAAGTAGCACTGGCGAGTTGCGTTGGCAAGTAGCAGGAAGCAGGCAGCGCCGGCGAGTTGCGCTGGCAAGTAGCAATGGTGATTGCCCTAGGAAGTTGCGCTGACAGGTTACATAGGGGGTTACTTTAGCAAGCTACAACAGCAAGTTACACAAGAGGTTTGCGCGAGAGGTTTTGAGTGTACTACACTAGATGAGAATCCTTGCTGATATTCTCATGAATTCGCGCGTGACAAAACAACGTGAAGCCCGACAGGTGGGTCAACTTTGCGATTGGAAAGTCGGCCCTCTGCGGAGATTGGCGTGGTCGATGTCCAAAAGCTGCGGACTTCGGCTTTTCAACATGTGCACGCAACCCTTTGTGGGGATTGGCGTGGTCGATGTCAAACAACTTTGAGCTTCTTCTCTATTTCTGCGGGGCCTGCGCGACCCTTTGCGGAGATCGGCGTGGTTGATGTCAATCAATTGCGGACTTTCTCTACTTTTTCCGGTTCGCGCGCGAACTTCTTCTACTGTGGGTGGTTCGCGTGCGACCCTCTGCGGGGATTGGCGTGGTCGATCGCCTGAAATGCTTGCAAAACGCTAGTTGGACTCACGTCAAACGCAAATGGTTGCTGTGTTATGGTCCGCGCTGCATGCAGAGAACTTGCTCATAGGAACCTGTCAGGGAAACTGGTTGAGCGAATTTGCTCAAAGAACTAGTGCAAAGAATTTGTTTGGAGAACTTGCTCAAAGGAACTCGCGCCAGCAACTTGCTGAGAGGAACAGCTTGCAAGGAGAACTTGTCGCTGCCACTAATTCTTTCGGGCCACCCAGCTTCTAGCTAATCTGTTTGCATCTTCTTTTCCTTCATAATATCGTTTTAGCAAATAATAGGGATCGGTATCATGTCAAAGACAGCCAATTTGTGTTTGGAATGGGCATGGGCTTGATTTGGCCACATTTTAGAAATGCCCAAAGCCCTTTCTGCTTATTTCGGCGAGCAGCATGTGTGGTTTCATAGGAAAAAGCCAGGGCTGGCATCGAAACCTTTGTGCTTGTGCACCCAGGCTTCCAGTTGTTTGTTTGTTTGCGGCCTTGCCGCTTTTGGTTGTGGTCGACATCCTGTTTTGTTGGCACCTCCAAAAAATGCATTGCGCCGCTGGAGCGGAACCCGCGTTCTGCGCGTGATCTTGGTTTACGAAGCCTACTCTTTAATAACTTTTTGTTGGTCCTCCGTGTCAGTTGACCTGGTGGAAGCCTTAGTCTTGGCAGTCTTCCCGTAATCTTCCGATGCTAAAGCGCTCTCCCTTGCTTGGTGGAAGCCTTGCCGATGCTAGAGCCAAGAAAACACACTGTTTGGAGGCTGAAAGTGCTCATCTGATGTGCTCGAAATGCACGCTTTCGGTCCCAAAGCATTTTTTTGGGTTTTGGGACGGCTAGAGAGAGCCGAAGGAAGACAAGTCCCGCTTCAAAGCTGACTTCGGCAAACAAGAGGTTTGCAGCCAGCCACCGATATTTGGTCTTTACCTCGCACATTGATGTGGTGTCTCCCACCGCCACATCAAATGCTTCTGCACCAACACAAGTCAAATTTTCTCATGCTTACCTTTTGCTGCACCTCCTTCCCATTCCCCACCTCAGACAATTGAACGGAAATCTTCGTGGCAATTTTGCAGCACGCCAAACACGTAGTGCCCCAAAAAGGTAAAAAGGCGCGGGCCCATGAAATAAAGCACAACCACGCATACACGCACACAAGTATATATGTGTATATACATACATACATACATACATACATACATACATATATGTATATATATATATATATACACATGCTTTGATATCCAGCCCAAGCGCGGAAGGAGCGTCCCTGGTGGCTGCGAAGCCGGCTGCTGCTGGCGCTGCAGCTTCTGCTGCCCATCTTGGCCTCGGCCTTCCGCCTGGCCTTCCTCTGCGGGCTCCGAAAGCGGAGGCCACGCGGACCCAAGCGGAGTTGCCATTCGGTCAGTGGTCTAGCATGCTAATGTGGGACTAGTCACGATTGCAGGACAATGTGGGAGGGTTCCACCTATCATGTTGTCTGCACCAAGCTGATCAAATCGACTGAAACAACTCTATTTGAAAAAGATCAATCTTTTGAACCAAACTGTTTGTTCGAATTGTTAAACCTAACGCGCCACAGCCCGGCGGCAGGTACAATCTGGTGAAGCAGGTGTCAATGCAAGACTTGGCCGGTTGGCAGCGGCGGAGATGAAAGAGTGCAGAGCGTGGCTCGGGAGAGAGGAAGAGAAAGAGAGGAGAGAGAGTGCCAAAGGGCGGAAGCTGGCTGAATCTGGTGGCATTCCCAAATGGGGATATCTCCAGATTCCACTGCAATGAATATGAGCTGAATTCTCGTGGGATCACTCCAATGGCGAGTGCAATGGGAAACAGGTGAAACACTTCATACCGAGAAATCTGAACTCCGTCAGTGATGAGTCACCCGATCCTTGACTTGTAACCCTGTCAAGGATTGGTCTTTTTTGGGAATTTGATTGGCTTAGTCGCTCAAATCTGTGACCAAACGTGTTACCAGAGAAGATACGGCCCATGAGGCAGTTGCCTGCCATGCATGTCTACTTGCAAACCTCTTCATCCAGCTTTGCTTGGCCAACAGTTCAAGCAACTGTCTGCAGCCTTGCATGACAGTTTTGTGTATGCTGTTGGGAAGCGTGGCATGGAGTATGTGACCCGATGCAGATGGCAAGGGGATGGCATGGCCAAAATACGGCGATTTGTTTTGGTTTGCACGGTTGGTTGGACTTGAGACGGTCACAGGGTACAGGAAATCACGGTTGCTTTGCACGTGACCGGCACCTTTTTTCCTTTGGATGGGATGGTTGGGCTCTCAAAAACAACGGGAGGAAGGACGGGGACCTGTGGCCTTGACGCAAAAAGACCATGTTGAATTGAGGTCCATGAAACTTGAGCTTGAGAAGGATTCCTCAAAAAGGATCTCGCCTCGGTCAAGCTGTGCAGTGTGGTGAGCGGGCCACAAAGCTTTTTCATGACTGAAGATGGGGCTCCTTCAGAAGCCATGATGAGGCAGTTTTCAACTACTAGCTGATAACATGGAAGATTCCTTTTTTGAAGAATTGTTTTTTGACCGACAGATTTTGAAACAAGCGCAAGCAGCGCAGACTCGAGCGCACAGTGCGTCAGCGACTTTCTCGATTGAGGTTTTCTCATTTCTTGCCCAAAAGGACCCAAGCATACTCAGAGATCGCTGAATGCGTACGCAACAGATCCCCTAACATGGACATCCACAACATCCTTTGCTTTTTTTGAGCCTTGCATGCCGTGGGTTGGCGTCCACCTGCCCTGGCTTAGCCGTTGCTTCCGGCGTCGACACTGTTTTTTGTTGCATGCAGTCAAACTCTGCCTGAAGACACGCTTTCCAAGATGATATCAATACATTTCAGGCATTTCAAGCAAACTGAGCAAACACTTGGTGATGGGAATATTTTTTCCTTGCTTGCCCTGTCTAGAGCTGCAACTGCCACAACATTATGCGTGTATGTCGTCGTCTCTTATTTTCATTTTCTTCTTTCTTTTTTTCTTTTTCCGATACTCTCCCCCAGCGCCACATGAGCATTTGTGGTAGGTGTCAACACATTCTGTGACATTTTGTGGAGGGCAATTCCCCAGTTTAGCGATTTGAAGGGGGATCTCGGGCGGAGCCCGTGGCCATTCAAAGACACTTCCACGAAGCGCTTGCAGGCTTATCAACTGGACTCCTAGCATAAACACCCCCTATAGACCCAGGGTACCGAAACACATGGGCACTTTCAATCGGGATTAACCACAGCATAGGTTGATTTCGGGTGGCTTCCGCATCCCGAGTCCAAGAGATTCAAGCCGCCCCTAACCAGGCCCGAGGCCCCGAGTGTTTTGGATGTTCCAAGGAGCAAACTATCAGCTGAGTTTGGTTGTGACTAGCTATTTTGCCTGCTCATTTGGAATCAAGACAGGCTTCCTTTTGCGACATATCTTTAGCCTTTAGTTTGGTTTCCCTCTACAGCTCAGCCTGGTTGGCGTGTTTGGACGTCTTCTTGGCCTCGGGTCAGACGCCTGGCAGCTACTCGGAGGATAGGCGGCAACCAGACAAAACGCAAGCACCATTGCCAGGTTGATGAGCCCGACCTTGACAAGTCAGGCCTGTATGGTCTTGCCGGCTTCGGGGTGGGGGAAGGGAGACAAAGAAGTGAACGGTCTGCTTGGTATCTCCGGCAGAGAGAGAGAGAGATCTCAAACAATGCTCAGAAACAAGGTGTCCTTAGATCCCACCAGTTGGTTTCCTTTCAGATTGGGTGGCGTTCAAGGGCGGAAGCAGGGACATTTCATGATTAACCAAAGTTGTTTTCGCTATCAGTTGGAATGGGTTTGTGAGCAACCTTGGTATTTCGATGAGTTGTAAGCTCGGTGTTTGCAGTAGCGACAATGGCTAAGTATGCCAAAAGCCCTGTGCAGGAGAAGGAATACATTGAATACATGGCGGCAGCAGAGGTGACAGGGGGAAGGTACCAACAGAAGGTTGTCTCACTTCCCGTGTGCGCGCGCGTGTACCCTTTCGCCGCGCCGCCTCGTGCAAGGCTTGCACCGCGACACCACGCCTCTGACTCTCTTGTCAGCCGGGGAGGCAAAGCTTGAGCTGCCGTCTGCTGGGGGCCCTGGCTTGGCTGTTTGGCAGCGCACAGCTGCTATCTTCAGAAATTCATTTTTTTTTTGTGTTCTGAAGTTCGGCCGTGAGAAATGCTAGGCCGCCCGCGAGGCCAGACAGGTGGTGCACCAGCCAGAGCCGCCGGGTGGATGCCAGGAGCTTCCGATACGCCGAACGTGGCGAATGGTTTTCGGTGAAATGCTTTGCGGTTGGCGATTGACTTATGTTTGGATTTCGACAACTCTGAACCGGGAACTGCAAGCGTTGAAAGGGGCCGTATATTTTTGCAGCTTTTTGTTTGTGTTCATGTGACTTATTTTCTTGCAGGGCAGCCGGGCAGCCACCAAGCCAGGGAGCGAGCTGGCGAGCACCTGAGCAACGAAGATCACCGTGAAAGCATCTTGAAATAAACTAAAGCCCCAAAACCGACCAAAAACCGAATCGTAAACAAACTCTCGTCACATCTACCCTAGGCCACCGTAAGCCGTTTATTCTTCTCCGCAGCCGTTCACATCAACCTTGAAACACATCGTATAATCAACCCTTCGCCCGCCTCAAAGTAACGCCAGCAACCACCGAAAAGCCGACCCTAATGAAGTGTAGACTCTTTATATGTGAAATCAAAAGCACACCCTGAGCTGGGTAAAAGCAGGATTTTGATAGTTCAAGAACACCCTTGGTATGAAACCTACATACCATTCATACTCATGGTCTCAAAACATGGCTTACGATAAGCCATTTTTTTTCTTCAGCAGGTCATTGTTGGGATAGGAATGACTTATCGCAAGCCATGTTTTGAGAAAATACTTCCCAACTCGAGCCTCAGAGGAGCCCCCGAGGCAGGGTGCGGGCGCTGTGCGGGGGTGCAGGGGGTTGAGGGTGGCAGTTGCAAGGCGAGTACCTACCTCTTGCATCCTTTTCCTCTTGCATGCCCTATGGGCGTAGAAAAGATTCGAGTCTCAGGTTTGGTGTGCAAGGATGACTGAGCTCTGGACGTAGTGAAGGAAGGGGGGGCGCGGCAAACAGAAAGTGTTGGTTTCTCGATCCCTGCTCAAGTGGGCCCAAGTCAAAGGGGCTCAAATGAGATTCCTTCTACGGTTTGGGCGTATTTAAGGTTTGATGTGGGCTTTGGTAATCACATCATGGACATGGAAGCTCTTTGCTGCCAAATACTCAGAGTCGACACAAAGAGTGGGTTGAGCTAAGTCGTCAATACGTTGCATGCAATTTGAGCTTCATGGTCATGAACGACCCAATGGGTCCCCTCCAATGCAGGGGCGAAGGGTGGGTCCAGTTCGTTCCGAGTACCCGTGTTGAGTTGGCTGAATTGCAGGGGCGCAGCGCGAGGCGGGCGTGTGCACAAGTTTGGAGTTGGGCAAAAGGCGCGAAAGCCCCTTTGCAGGTTTCATGCCATCCAATCTTGACACAGAGCAACTAATCACAAAAGGGCAGGGTAGATCCTCACGAGCACGGAGTTTGATTCTGGAGGTGCCCCGAAGCGAATGAAAAGCTGCATGCCAGCTACAACTTGCTGGGAATGAGCATATGAGAGGTTGACAACATGGCCCCTCAAAGGACAGCACAAATGAGGCCATGTCCCAAAAAGGGACTCTAGTTTGGACAACCCACTAGTATAATTTTCAGCTTCGCAGATGTTTGTGCTTCTGATATTTTTAATGGTGCACGGTTTTGCGCGCAGAAGTATGACAAGGTTAGAAACGACGGGCAGCTTTGATGGGCGACAGGTCAGGAACCCCCTTTATCCTCCCGCAAGCTTGGAAGCGCCTGGAACACAATGGCTGCGCGCATTGTGAGGCAGGTTTCATATGAGCAACTAAGAATACTATCATGAGTTGGGCCGTGGATTTGGCAAGGGATGGCAATCAACCGTTTGAAGGTTTCAGCTGCCACCACGAGGGCGAAGGAGTTGTGCCCAGGGTGCATGAGTTTTCAGGCCGCCCGGCAGGTCGTGACATGGAAGCCACAGGCGCAGCGCTGGTCGTTTGGGGCGCAATGTGCAGTGCCACCGATGGCATTGGGTGGCAGGCTGCCTCGCGAGGCCCATTTAGGGCATACCTCGCCTGAAGCGGTGCTTTCCGCTCTTTGGCAATATATGTTGAACGATGCCGAAGCAGACTCGGAGCCGCCTTGAGGACCCACGTCATTCTCTTCTTGCGCCAAAAGTTGGAATCCGTTTGGAAGGGGATTTTACAAGGGGAGACATAGCCACGGCTGTGGAGCGGGCCAGGATTAGCCTGCGACCAGATGTTCGCAAAGCGTGGAAATCCTTACATTCCAGTAATTGACTTCCTTTGTTTAGTTTTTCCGATGGGACAGGAGGCTGTGCACTTCTGCACTTCCGGGCTTGTTTGTAAGAGGGTCGCAGGGTCACGCTGAATTTCTAGGGAACCGTCCCAGATGCCTAGAGCAAGTTTGGCTTGGTCAGGCTGGCTTTGACATCTGTTTTTTGGATAAGGCTTTGACATCAGCGGCTTATTGAGTTCTCTGGAGGGCCCTCAAAAAAGGGTCACTTCCCTCTGGCATCCGCCAGGTGCCGTGCGGGTCGGCATGGGCAACCTGTGGCGGCTTGGGGCCTGAAATCAGCCGGGAGGTTGGACGCCCAAATGTGATTCCCCTATTTTCCATTTCCGCCTTTGATACCGGATTGTGCTTTACGACTCGTTTGTGCCATGGTGAAGTCGGTGGAAGGGAAAACGATTGAACTATAGCAACGTTCGCGCCATGTTGTGCCTGAACACAGGTCAGTCCTTTTGCCGCAGAGCCACAGCATCATGGACCTCTGGGCGGGGGGGGCATCCATCAACCCGGGATTCCTTGAAAGCATCTCACAAGCAGTTTCATCTCGAGGTTGCGTATTGGTTGCTTAGCAAGGTCAGTTTTAGGGCGCCTTTCCCACTCAGCAGCAATCAGAAGCTGACTGTGGTTGCGAAGTTTGGGCAGCACGTGATTCGACCCCGTGAGGCCCTGTCCGGCGCGAGCCCAAAAGATCGCATCGGGTGGGAAGAAAGGGAAAAAGCAACCCGTGGGTATGATAGTGGACATCATGTTTAGTGCGAGTTTTGTGTCCACCAAGCGTTTTTGAGGGACAATTCTCCACACAGAACCCCTCTTAGGCGATCAGGCAAGGGAATCAGGGACTCCTCACTGAATACGCTGTGGAGGGGAAGGAGGGGCCAATATAACTAGCGCCCCACAGAGGTTTGACCCTTGTGCTGCGCTTTGTTGAAGGGTGACCCTGTTTCATTTGGGATGCGACAATCTGGGGTCTGCCCCCGCCCCCCCCGCCCCACCCCCAGTGCTTGGAAAATTCATCAAAATTCTGGGATCAAATGGTTCCGCAGTTCTAACTGACTGGGTGGTTTGCATTCTAAAATCTATATTTGTGCACGTGTCCAGTTCGTGTGAATGCTAATCCTGCTTGTGTGGCTATGAATTCTTTAAAACAAACAACACACGCACCAGTCTGAACCTCATGCCTGCGGGAGATGGAGATGCGTGTCGCGGAAACCCTGAAAGGCTCGCGCGTCAATTTGGGGGTGGCTGTTGAAAGCGGAAGGGGCCGTTGGACCGAGTATCAGTAAGGAGATCGTGTTGCTTTGTCCTGAAAAATCGCCTGCAAACGCTGCACCCGCTATGTGGGTGGCAACCAGCCATTGCACCAGCCATGCTTTCTTCCGTCTGGTAGCCAGTATTTTGAAGAAAGCTAAAGTTGGTAGCCAACCTGCGCTCCGGAAGATCTGAGCTGACGCGGCCATTGAACACATCTGTCAATTCAAATTTCCAATCTCGTTGCCTTCTGACCAACCAAGGTGTGAGGTAGTAGGTGGGATGATAGGGGGTTTGTTTGGAGGGCACAGTTGGGGCCATCGGTCATGGGCCATTTCAAGCAGCGAGGCAACAGGAAGAGCGCCATATCTGCATCGCCAGATGTGGTTTGCATAGATGAGCTAGGATGAAGTACGGCCAACAAGCGCACTGCAAAGCGGCAGTCATGAGTTCACTTCCAGCCGAGGCTGGAGTCCAGTCGCCCGCCTCTGCACAGGCCGGCCCTTGGTTCCTTTGGGCAGTAGTTCCTACGGTTGGCTCAAGGGTTTTGCCCCAGGATCGGGGACGCCTTTTGGGGTGCGTTTGACACTGGTAGTCTAGAGTTGGTTTGGCAAATGCCGGGGCACCGCGAAGTGCGCAATAAAATGGGGTGGGGGGGCCCCATATGAACTTTCAAAGTCGTATTTCCTAGAATGCAGGACACCCCAAACCTCTGTGTGAAAAGGAAGGCCAAGCGCCCGTATTTGCCTTCCAAGTGGATTTGTTTGATATTGCACAACCTGTTTACTGCCGGAAGGAGCACATTGCTGGAGCAGCTACCCAGAACAGAAATAATTGCACACTTGAATTAACCTCCATGGAGCCAATGTTATTCGTGCATTTCCTCGCGGCCCAGAACAATGTTTGGAGGGGGAAGTCGGTTTTGAACTCTGGTCAAATTCGTAGTTTGCGGGACGTACTTTGCGGTGCCTTGCCTTGACACAGGGCATTGCTGCCAGAGGTTTTGTGGCCTGAGTTTGCGGAGGAAGAGCTTTTCAATCAGGTGCCTTCAAACGGGCCAAGAACATTTGATCCAGAGAATTGGAGGCGACTGGGGACAGTCAGAGGCAGACAAGAGCCCTGTGCCTTTGCAGCTTCTTGTTTGGTTTGGGCTGCACTACTTTCATGCAGACTCATGTGAGAGAGTTGAACATGTGGGGAAATAAGAATGCTCTCCCACTACACACAGTATGTATCCCCAAGAAAGTCGGGGACCGACACAGGAGACAATGATATGATAGGGTGATCTTGAGGCACAGGTCCAGGGTCACACGTTTTTTGTTTGGTGAGCAAATTTGGCCAGTCGGGGTCATGACCCTGAATAGTCATTGACGCCCTGAGTCACGTTTGTCCTTGCTGTGATCATGGAGTAGTACGTGATGATATCTGGGTTGGTCACGGTTTCCTCCAGGCTCCATTTGATTTCAATATATACTTGAGCTGGATTTTGGAAGGATGAGTGATGAACTATCACCTTTGCCAAATGAAGCATGTGCCGTCGAAGCTATTTGTTCTCCACGAGAACGTGGACAGTTGAGACCATCTCACCTCCGAATGGCGAGCTGATTTTGGCTCCCGGCTCAGCGACCAACCGAGCGTCAGATGTCACGCAGGGAAGCTTTCTGCATGTACACATGTACCTTTCTGCAACCAGCAAGCAGTCTGTTACACATGTATCACACCCAGAACTTCATGCATACTTCGCCAGTTTGGCTTTGTTTCGTGGCACTTGGGGGCTCGCCGCACGTGGACCATGCGCGTTTCCCGTTTGACGCGTGCCTGGGCTGACCTCCGGGAGCGACTGCCGCGCTCCGGGCTGCAGCGACCTGTCGGGAATGGGGACATGCAGCTCACTGGCTGAATGAGAATGACTTTGATCATGGGTGAGATGTCTGACCGAGAGTTCGTTTCGTGAGCAGCTCCGAATTGAGGGTGCTCATGCTTGTGTGAACTCTGTCCATGTTTGACGCCAAGGATTTTGGGCTCCTCGTCATTGCAGATGTCGTTCTGTTCACAATTCGTATTTTGTGACAGCTTGTTGCCTCTTGTTGAGTGCCACATGTAGTATAATTTTGCAATACCACAGCACATTGAGCCCGTGGCCTGAATGCCCGGCAGACTCTGACGTGATGTAGGAGTGTTGCGGAAGGTGAAGAGAGCTTGTCAACTCAACTCTCGAGGCATCGCTGAAGGCTTGAAACATAGACTACAGGCGAGTGATGTGTGCACGCAAACTAGTACGCAGCAATTGGACGTTTGACGTGCTGAAAGGCCAAATGGAGGGCACGGGGTTGCCAGTTGTGGTTGATCTTGGGTTGCCTCGCCTATTTTGCGATGTAGTATGCTGATAGTCTTGCCTTGTCTCGATCAGCACTCCATGGAAAGGGATGCTCCGGAACCCGGCCATGATAGATAGAGTGAGTAGCTGCTCATCTTTTTGATTCGCTTTCCTAGCAGGACCAAAACACCCGCTCGTAGTCCCTTGTGTTCTATTCTTTCGAGCCTTCCACGCCAATGAGTCTAGAAGTGTGGTCGTAGGGCTGAGGTATCTCCCAGCGAATTTTCTGGAAGTCAGTGTCCCCCTAACTTGGACATTGGGCATTGCAGCTGATCGGATGTAGCTGAGCTTCTCTTCAGAATTCTCCCCGCCCAGACAGCTTGCAACACGCTGGTGGGACCTTTGCAGTTTCGGTCGCCGTCCACCGCCGCTTTCCTGCAGCAGGTATTTAGCGCTGGAGAAGCTGGGGGATCGCCGTGTGCCTCAGCTGCCGCAGAGCATCCGCATCCTGTTGGAGGCGTGCGGGGCATGACAAAGCCAAAGACTTTGGAGCTGCTTGATGCAAGGCAACCATTTGCATATTTCTAGACGACTGTTTCCGGCAAGGTGCAATGATGTTTGAACGCATCCTCCTGAATGCGACGCTTTATCGCAACCAGCGGTGAAGACATGTTCAAATCAATCGATGGACCCGGAGCGACAGAGTTTGGTGACCGTTTTCACTCCGAACTTGCGGGTTCGCTCCAAATCAACATGCAGGCTGGTTGGATTGGGTTGGCTGCTTCGCGTTTTATTCGTGGTTGGTGGGTGGCTGGGTTGGTGGGTTGGTGGGTTGCTTGGGTGGTGGGTCGGTCGGAAACAATCCCCTTGCGAGTAATTAACGGCGAGGTCAGCAAAAGGATGCGTAATGACAACATCCTTTTGGAGGTCTTCATGTCAAGAATCGATTCCCACAAGCGATACAAATGCAATTCAGGCTCAGCTTGGTGTTACTTCTGCATTGACTATGTAGTTTGCTATGAGTGTTCTGACTACAATCAGTATTGGGACAATTTGGTGTTCCAACCATCGGCAAGCCAGTAAATTGTGGAATTCTCAAATTATACGAAGCCCCAACATGAGACATTTGCTGTTTGGGACAAGGAAGGTGCAACGGGAAGTGCAGCTTAAATACGCCAGTTTGGAATCGTTCGGACATCTGAGCAAGCCTCGGCTTGGGTGATGGCTGTTCGACGCGCCTGAAGGCCGCCCTGCGCCGCGGGGGCGACAGCGCGGAGGCGCTGCTGGACTTCCAGCGCTGCGCAGGGAAGGCGCGGGGGGGAGGGGGGGACGGGTAGCCGGGTTTCGTGCAGCTTGGTGCAGGGAATCAGTTTAAGTTCCTTTCCATGGCGTAGCAGAATCGTGACTGACGCCCAGACTGCCATAGGTCCATGGGGTTACCCCCTTGAAAGGGCCCTGATGAAGGGGTTTGTCCGTACAGCCGCTTTCTTGGGATCCGGTATGGCAGGGGCCTGGCCGACGGAATGTGCCAGGCAGACATCGCTTGGCTGCCGCCGCGGGTATTGTTGCAGGACTGAGAACACGTCACAACGCACTATTATCCCGCTGCAATTTTGGGCAGTTTTGGTTCGTTGGGAAGGACGTTGAATCCAGGCTCCAAATTCCAGGCAGAACCTGGGGGCGCATCCAATTTTCTTGGTCCTCTTCAGGAACAAAACAAATTGTTTGCGGTTCCAATGAGTAATGCTGGCTCTTCTTGCTGTGCCGGCATTTTTTTCTGCCAGACTTCCCTTTTTGTTAGAGGCTTGATTCGAGGATTGTTTTCGGAGCTTTCCTTGAGCGCGTTTCCGGCGTCTTGGCAAAGTGGATGGGAATAAAAGTCAGGAGCATATGCACGAACAAGCAGATGGACCCGTGGATCACATAATCATAATATAACAGGACACTTTGCAGGAAGGGTAGCATGCCTGGCCCACAAACATTATGAGCATGAACAAGACAAGGAAATCAATATCATAAAAGCTTCAACTGGGACCGACACATCTACTCGTTGCCACTAGACCCATTGACCTACATGGACTGACCTGGTTTCCATGGTTTCCCTTTCAGCACGGTCCTAGGAGGGACCGTTTCCAGTTTCGAGCACCACACACAAGGCATGTTGGTTTTGGCCCTCAGGAAATAGCTCTCCTCCCCAAACAAAACCAGCCGGTCAAGGACCTCAGTGGCATACCGGCGCTGGTGGACCTTTGCGCCATGCGCGACGCTGTGCAGAGCCGAGGTGCTTCGTTTTTTTTTTTTTTGGGGGGTTGCAACACCAGGCTTCAGGCAAAAGAGGTGCAGGGATATAACATCGAACAAATAAGACTGGCAGGCTATTGCTTCAGAAGCGAAAGGAGGAATGCTCTCTTATCCTCCACGAAGGCTGACAGGTGATCCGTGTAGATTCAAAGGAATGGGGCACAGGCCATGCAACGTGACCATCGTTCTTGGAGGGGTCCCAATGTTTTGGAAGCAATGTTTTGGGAGAGACCCGAGGGCGCTGCAAGGCACGCCAACTTTGGGAACCAGTGTTTTTGTATTTCGGTTGTTACATTAGCCGCTTGTTATTTTGGTTTCCGTTTTTAGCCCTTTTTGTTCCTCATGTCACGACGCTGCACCTGAGATCTTCACATCGCTTTCCTGGGCAGATTCTTGACATCAAGGGGTTTGATTTTGAAATTACCAGTCGCCGACTCTTTGGCTTGGTTGTTTGGCCCCTTGATATGCAAAGTCCAAGATGGGCGATTTGAAGATAAAACCTGCCGATTTCAAAAGAACACGAACTGGAGGTGATCGGATTAGTCTCAACAAATTGTGAAGTAGGTGTGCAGTTGGACCGTGATGTGGCACGTTTTCGCCTTTTCTTGGTGTTATTCGCCAATTTTTGGCCTTTTCTGGGTGTCCCGCCTCTACGCCTCCCAAATGACAAGCACACCCGCTGAGCACCGCACCCACGCCTGCCAAATGACAAGTGCCTCGACTCAAGCGCACAGCTCAGCTAGCGCATCCGCTCAGCACCGCGCAGTACGTCAGCAGAAAGCCTGAGCTTGGTGGATTTGTTTTGCATCAAACAGGTTCCAGCGGGAACTGTGCGAGGTGAGGAAGCACAGCAAAGGAAGCTGAACGCAAAGCGAAGT